GTCCTCTTTTGGAAGACCAAACAAAGTAGTTTCGCTTTCACAAGCACACAGCGTCTCCACGACATTGCGGCAGCGGCAACAATACCACAGTGAGAATAAAAGTTACGCCTTCTTTCTTTGCGTGAACATTTGGGCGGCGTTATGCAAATCTTCCCACATAGTGAGGTAGATATGTGGGGGCGTGTTAGAACGAGCCGTTTTAGGTAGGTGTGGTTGACTCAACTTTTATAAAGAATATCTCTTTGGATTTGAGACTTTAGTCTTTGCAACTTTACAGATCTCCTTTATGCACCAAGAGCTTGTAACACTCCAAAGAGAAAGGAACAATTTAAATCAAATCATATGACCCCTTTAATAAAAATGTAAACATCTATTTTAGGTTGATAACACAAGCACAAAAGCATATATAGCCATGTATGAGGGTGGGGGTCGGTTAGAAAGAGGAACAGAGAGCTTACACTCCAACAGGCCACGCGAGCGCACACTCCGGCCAAGCCATGGAGGGGCGAAGTGGGGGAAGAGCCGTCCCCAGAGGGGCCCTGTACCTGAGACGACACAGAGGCACTGGCCACAGGTTCCAGCTAGACCAGCCAGCCAAACAATTACAGCCACAGAGACAGCGGTGGATGAGAGAGAAAGGTAGAGATGAGACATGTATCCACAGATGAAAGGACAGCAGGCACATGGAGGTGAGATGGGCATGCCTAAACCAATGAAAAACTGTTTGCTAGATAATAAAGTTGTACTGCAGCACATAGCAAAAGCTGAAAGTGCATGAGATGGTGATATAGGAAAGACAAAATGGACTATAAAAACAGATACATGGGGTTTAAGAGACTTTAAGAAAGGTTTAAGAAAAAAACTACAATGACAACTAAGCTCAGTACCCTGTTGAAAAAAACAGCATATGCTGGTTAGGTATGTTTTGAAGCATGGCAGCTGGTTTAAGCTGGTTCTTAGTTGGTCATGAGCTGGTTTAAGCTGGTCCTGAGCTTGTTATGAGCTGGTCCTGGTTATGAGCTCCTGGTCCAGGAGCTAGTTGCTTAGGACCAGCTTAGGACAAGCACATGACCAGCTTAAACCAGCTCATAACCAACTTATAGAACCAGCTCAGCACAGCTCAGCTCAAACCAGCTGCCATGCTTCAAAACATACCTAACCAGCATATGTTGGGGGTTTTTAACAGGGTAGACATCAGAGCAGATGTTTGAGCTATTTCAAAGAGGGGAAAACACCTATTTGTTGGTCTCGTAGCAGAGTAGCCCATAATACAGAATACAATACAAGCCCTATTCCAAAACCAAGTGAGCTGCCTTGTTGTTTACTCTCTACATAGGCAAAAAATATTGAATTGAAACCCTCTGTGGTAATGGTCTCTTAAACACGACATACAAATAACACACACACAAAAACAGTACTGTAGTGTGGCATTACCATTTGTTGCTAAGCTAACAATATGCTACACTAACAAACAAACATAGCTTAAATAAAAAGTTGAGTAAAATAGATTTAAAAATAAGATTTTTAGAATTTTTTTATGAGAAAGAACATTTCTGAATGCTTTTCAGAATTACATTTTTGGTGTAAACAGAGTTTCCCTCAAACTGGCTGCCATTTTGAAACTTTGGGGGGGAAACCTACACAAATAAATAAGTTGAGTTTGAGTTGAAGTTGAGTTGAATTGAGTTTTTGTCTTAGTCTAGCTTGTTTAAAACTTTGCCTAAAGCTATTTTTAAGAGATTTATGGAACTGCCATTACGGTGTCTAGGTAGGCAGGTTCACTATAGTTTTGAATAAAGCCATAACCTTTTTATAAAGAGACTGAGTTCGCAACCATTTGATGCAAAGGCATTATGTAGTTGCTCTGCTCACATTAATGTCCTTAAAATCCCTTGTCCTCATTAACAATATAGTGTATTAAACTCTTTCCCCATGAGTATTCACTCAGCTATCAAGCTTTAAAGTGCTTTATTTATAGGTCTACAGCCAGTGCAGTCAGAGCCATGTAAAACAGTAGAGATAAAGCACATTTTAGCATCAGAGTGAGTGAGTCAGATGAAAAAGATGAGGAACCAGAAATGAAGACAAGAGGAAGAGGAGGAATGGACAGGCATTACAGGTGCAGCGAAGATCCTCTCCAGCCGTCTCTGTGCTTCTTCTGTGGGACTCAGTGGCGGACTCTCCTATAGGTCAGACCACCAAGAAGAGGTGAGTCTAACTCAGACTATGCGCATAGCTTTGTTATTGAGTAATGTTATGTAGTAGCCAACATTCATTTATTCAAAAGAATAAATTGTAAAATCTCTACACAGAACTTGACTGAAAGCAAAGTCACGAGTGTGTATGTTAGCCATGCTACATTCCCTTCCTGCAGAGTTGAGCCAGCATATCATCTAACTGCTGCAGAGTGTGATCTTAATACAACACACACACACACACACACACACACACACACACACACACACACACACACACACACAAACACACACCTTTACACACAAACACACACAAACACACACCTTTTTAGACAAGGTTGGTAGAGAGGGTTTAGAAATTCTCCCAGGAGAAGGTCTCCCTGCTTGACTTGGTGGCATACGTACGGCCGTCTTCACCTTCAAATATTATGTCCAAACCACACACAAAGTCAGAAACGTATTGTTTAAGGGACTGAACACTGAACTTAGTAACCATGCAACCAATTACAAATTAGTTTCTTCTGATCTGAAATCCTAGCACCAAACTACTCCAAATCAACCATCCAGCATTCACAACACTATGCTTTTTGCGACAAAACCAGTATCCAATCCATAAAATCTATTGTCCATGATCTTACAAAAGTGTCCACACAGATGTATGTTGCTCCTAATCTTGTCTAATCAAAACTAGTAAATGGCTCTGTGGGTCTCTGAAGTGGCTTAGTTTACTAACGGTCTTCAACCTCATTCATTTGCAAGATCTGCACACTAAAGTTGGTTTTCCAGTAACAACATTCAGGAACCACAAGTTGTGGGCTGATCTGGGCTGTGTTTCCCAAAAGCATCATAAGCTTAAGTTGATCGTAGCTCCATTGGTGGCTTTTGGGAAACGCAGCCCTGTTAAATACAAAGAGACTAGAAAGGCAACTCAGATACAGAGTTAGAAGCCTAAGAGAAGGGTGTTGTCAAACAACCAAAAGCCCACTTCCAAGAGCTACAAACCACTAGGATACATGCAAAGAAAATGTTTAGGAAAAAAGAAAATACAGACTACATACAGACTATAAAGTGGTTCATCTTAATACTAGTAGTGCACGCCATTCACATTAGTGCACTCTTCACACAGTTAAGTGAAAAACAGCAATCCATGCAGCCAAGTAAACAGTGTGATCAATACCTCTGGTTTCTTCATAGGCATCTGTTTATTGGTGGGAATGAACCCTGATGGAGGGGCAAATGGATCTGTTTTGGGGGTTGGGGGGTTAAGGGTGTTGCTTTTACCAGGAGCAATTGGAGCAGAGGTAGCAGCTGATTTAGGAACAGCAGGTGTGGAACTGGGGATAACAGGCAATGTTTTGGGATCTAAAAGAGGAGCTGAAGGTGGAGAAACAATAGGAGCTGTTGGAACAAATCCAGCAGGAGTTACAGGAGAAGGTTTTGAAACAGGAATAAAGCCTGCTGGAGGGGAAAGAGCAGATG